ACATATTTTTTCCTATCGCTTGGGATTTTGTAATCACTGGCGGTTCTCTTCTACGCTGCTTCTCTTTTTGACTCCTATCAGAGGGTGGGATAAATTCTGTATGTTTTATAATCAAGTTTAATTATTTGTGTAGACGCATACTCCAGAGCTATATAAAATGAGTAACGAATTTTGTTTAATTTCATAATTCTCGAAGGATCACCACTCCCTCAGATGCAACGCTGTTCTAGTTTGTTTGGTCGTGTTTGGCTTCTTCGAGGAGAGTTGCAAATTGCAAGAGCGCACGTTGAAGCAACGCTGGAGCGTAGTTATTAATACGAGATTATTATATAAACCGCATTACGGCTCGCAATTAAGACCCATTGACATATTTATTATCGGTCACATTGACTTGGCTGCGACGTTGGTTTATTTATTTAGATATCGTTTTTATACGCGAGCGCAACAGGTACGAGGCTGCTGTGATTGGTGAGACAGACGGGTTTTTCTGTTGTTTTGCAAATGTACATTGCAGGAATTATTAAGTTTAATTAAGCGGTTACCACGGTAGCGTTAATGTCTCGTTCTCCTTGCGTGATAGCGATCTCGTTTTTTTCAGACGCGCGAATGATGCAAATTACGAGCGTGTTCGATTACATAGACACGATGTTCGCTAGTGACATTAATTAACGATACTTTTGCTAGCTTGTATCACGAACTAGACGGATCGATCTCGTCAACGGGACGCTTTTGCCCGAATTATTTATTCCGCGTCGTTTCGTCTAATCCGCAGTCGTCGATTTCTTGTCTCGCGTTAACCACGGTTCCAATACACGCTGCGTTCATAATTAACCGGACAGATCGACTACACCTCCGTAAGTGAGCCTGCAAAAAATTTATACAAAGTCTTACAGGGCATTATCGCTCTGTACCCTTTGACGAAATATATAAACCGTTCGAAACAGTCTTTCCTGTCGTTGGCAATTTACTTACATTTTATCGCGTTACGTTCTGTACGAGCAACATAACGATCCTTTGTTAGAAAGCACATTCTTTCCCGGTTCGGCTTGTACCAATTACGCGCGAAAAACGCGTACACGACAAGACGTTTGCCAGTCGTTCCGAGTTAGAGCCAGGTCGTTTCGCGTGTCGGAGAGTTTTTTGTCGCGATAGCGGGTCGACAAATGAGCGTATTTTTTGACGAGGAACGTTTTAGGCGATTCGAGAGACGCTCGTTTACTCCCGCATTAACATATAACGAGTTCAATTTCCGTGGTATATGCGCGCGTGTACGAAAGCGCAAACACGGTACGCTGATATATGAACTCTCGCTGGCAGCAATTTGACTTCCTCGGCAGGCGACGATAAATTTCAGTTTAATTTATTCCTTGGGGCACCCGCAAGACGGCCGAACGATATAGACGATATTATTCAGACGCCATTACGCGAAATTATGTGACGATTATTGCTATCGAAGACCCGCGATCGCGAGCGACCACGGTCACCTCGACGTTTTCGAGCAATTCTCGATCTCCGTTTTAAATATAAACAATTTTTATTCGTCGATCCTTGTACAAAACTACTGCTGGTCGTTGAAAAGTATTAGCTCATTAAAATATCGGTGTTCGATCGGAAAGCAGTCAATCTTGTCGATAAGAGATTCCTGATAAAAAACTCATCGACTCGGTTAATGAATTTAATTCAATCTATATTATAGAAGACACGATCGATTAATTTTTGAGCAAATCTCGTACGATTCTTGATAAACAATCTCTCCTATTCGAACATTCGGGAATCCAGTTTGCTCGAGAGCAACGAGAATGAACGAACGAGTTACCTTTATCTAGGATCTGATACTTTAAACGAATAATTAGTTAATTCCTTTCGCGTAGCCTCCCCCTCCCGCGGATGGTCGGGGAATTAATTGTCGAGAGTCGTCTGTTGTTTAATAACGAGAGATACCGCTACTCCTTTCCGATTATCGTCCATTAAAGTAACACGAAATTGCTATCGAGTTATCGAGCACGCATTTATAATCGGATCCGTTGTGATAAGCGACTATCACCTGCTTTCGAAATTACCGTCATTATCGCCATTAACCCTTTAGGCTGGAATTATTCTTACACACCCGGCTACCGGTTAGTCGTTATTTATTTGCCCCGGTACGGTTTCGTTGGTAGCGCGTGTAGTCTCTGCCGCAAGTATTCCCCCGCTCGTTCGAGTAACGAATGACGTGAATTAAAAATACGAGCAACTCGAAAAGAGAATCGCGCGCGCGGCGCAGGGGAACGTCGAGCGACGCATATTTTTTTTTTGTTCACAAAGGGTGATAAAGAATAACGGATACGATATTATTACGCTCGGTGTACCGAGGTAGAAATGAAACGCGTGTAAATGAAAATGGCGAGTGTGTAAGAATTTTTTGAAAAAATGCTCGGTATCCGTAATGAACGAGGCTCAGCCGCTATTAAACCTAACATTGAAGCGAACAAGTTTTTTGCGCTAATTCGTTTAGCGTGGCAGGAATATTTTTATGCGATACGTTATTGCGTTAATAGCGTGTAGCTCGCTCGGGCGTAAAATATTTAAGAGGTCTCGTTTTGATGTTACAAGTACGCTCGAATATTGTTACGTAAAGTGCCCCATCGGTGTTAGTTGTTCAGACGTACTTAAAAGGTATTTATTTTCAAGTTTATCAACCGTGTCCTCTTTAATATAGATTAAATTAAATTTATTGGCTGGCTCATTGTGATTTTCATTATACCAGCACTTAAGGTTCCATCGACAAGATCTGAGCCGATCTTATCTACGTCGAGTGTTTTATTAAGTATAGCGTTATCGAGCGTGCTTCGTCGTACCACTGACGTGTTACTTCTGCAACACCATTTCCATTCGACTATGATAACGTAGAATACATGGATTTACTTCGTAGACTCGGAATCGAGACGAGACTATCGGAATAATTTATTATTCCGCGAAGTAAATATCATCGTTCGAGTATGCATTTTCATTATGGGATTATCCATTTAAATATTACATCTTGTCATCGGCTGATTATCGACTTACGCACACGTATAAATCATCGCGATGAGTGAAATCGATGATTCTAACAAGATGATCGATAATCTGCGTTTATATAAATATGCACGTGGACACGGTTCTGTGCGAACCCATACAAACACGTCGACTCGTTTGCTCGGTACTTGTATGTTGCATCGATGCACCGTAGGCGCAAGATTGCGTGCGATGGCTGTCAATTATTCTACCGCCATTCGAATGCCACGAATATTCACATAATTCAAGAAGCTCAGAAACTTCAAATCTTCAAATATTTGTGTATCCAAATATTCCTCGTACTTGAATTCTCAAGATTAAGACTACCGTGTGCTCTTGATTCTACGATTTTTTTTAAGACCACCCGGTACAAAGTATATGAATTAAAATATATCTCATAAGTTATGCCTACGTCAGTGACGCGTCACAACTGTAACTCCATATTCTCGCAAATACGGTTACGTAATAACCGTGGAAAAACCCAGAATCACAACTGACATATCATTTTTATAGAAATCAATTAACTACCGTGTCGCATGTCTTGACATTTGATGATATTTAGTTTCACGCACCAATTAGACATCCGTGATTTTCCTCATTAAATACTTTATGCATATCGAGCGCTATTAAGTAAACGTAACGCAATTTGTTGGTCATAAGGAAATTTTGTAACTCATCGATCCGTTCGATCCTTTTTACGATTTTTTTTTCAAATTACGCGTTATTATTACAATTTGCTGTAATTAGGTAATGTTGCTGTACTTCAACGTCTATTTCTTGGTATTTATTCTACTTCGTCTTATTAAATTTATCTTGATTATATTTTTCTTGCAACAGTGTGCTCCCAATGTATACCTTATCTTTTTGTACACGCTTCCTTTTTATCGTTCTTCTTTATATCCACAAAAAATTTATTCGTCGCACGATTGTTGAGAACAAATGTTGCAATTATTTTCCATCTTGTAGAATTCGCCAGCAGTGTTAGGAAGAGAGAATACAAATCAGAAAAGTGGTACATTAATCTGTCTTTATTAGTTGTTTATATAATGGCGTTGCCTTAAAATATGGTAAATCTTGCGAATGGTAGAATGATATTCTGCTTCGATCATCGATCAGAACTTTAAATACATTCTAGCGGAGCCTTGGAAAAATGTTTACAAAAACGAAAAACGATATCAGTTTACGAATTAAAAATCGTGAGAAGATAATAAATTTTATTGGATAAACGGGAGATACACTACCCTTTGGTGTAGCAATGTATGTTAATGTATGTAACGAAAAGATCCATTTTCTAGAAAATCGGTTCAAAATTGAACGACCCTGTCACTGACATATTGCCGACTGCTTCACAGTCCGCTGACCAACATGTGGCTCCAGATTAGAATCAATTTCAACTTAAACTTAGAAAGCAGTTTACGCATAAATATTTATACAGGCAATTAAATTACGAGCATTATGTAAATATAAAAATAATTCAATTAGACATTATAAATAATTTAAGAAAATATAATTAAAAACAACAAGAGAGGCATTAACCTTTCGAGTGCACAGGGGTGTCACGTGTGGTTTCTTCGTGAAAGAGGAAATGCTTCGATCCCCTCCCTAAAAGAAACCATTAACGGACCATATTATCATATACGAATTGACTTTACATTTCCCCCCCAGGCGCGTGAAAATAATAAAAATCGTGCTCTCGAAGGGTCGATACTTGTCGTTGAACAGTATCTAATTTTGAGGTCTCGTTTAAAAACTAACAAAGAGCTAAGAAAGGAACTTGTTTTGATGTGTGAATTGAAGAGTATGTTTATATTCTCAGATGATGGACGGTCGAGACGCGTATCGCTTTCTTGGACGTATGAGGGAGGAGTACGATTTCGCCTCGGTCCGTGAACGTGTTAAATAAATAATAAATAAATAACGAGATGCAACGCGGGCTGGATTAACGGTGGGATTTCAAAAATTTTCAGCTGCTGGTGAGCGGCGGACAGCCGACTACGGCGACGTCGCCGGCGATGTCGTCCGGCGGCGCCCTGAGCCCCGGCGCGCTGTCACCGTCGTCGACGGCGACGACGACGGGCGCAGCGGCGGCCAGTGGTGGGGCGAGCACCCCCGTGGGCGGCACCACGGGCCCCGGTTGCTGCGAGAACGGCAGGCCCATGATGACGGACCCAGTGACCGGGCAGACGGTATGCAGCTGTCAATATGACAGCGCGGCGAGGCTCGCTTTAGGCGCTTACCCGAGGCTAGCACCCACGGCGACCTCGTACTCCTCATACCCCACGCCCACGCCATCCACCACCGACCAGGGGCCCTACCCCAGCATCAGCATGGACAGCTCCGCGTTCTACCCTCCTCTGGTGAGTAAATTTCCTCGAAATGTCAAGTTTCTTATTCATCAATTCCATCATCGTCTCGACCTTTGCTCCCGTAAACTCGTTCTCCCAAGACTTGCCGCGAAACGTTGCAGTTACCAAGTTCTTATCCTCGTCGATTCATCTTCACTTTACGTAAACACGCGGAAACAAACATCGTCGAGTCGTAATTGTCCTAACGCGATGCGATTCTTTCGATGTTCGGATTTTCGTTAACCGCGAATATACGCTGACTATTTTCGTTCGAAATACGTGTTGTGTAACTTCACGTGCGGTACGATCAACTGGATCAGAAACAATCGCGTAAAGGCTAGAGAGTATGCGCGGAATAGGATCTGGAATGTGAACAGTGAATGCGTTAACCTTTTAGCTACCGTAGCGGTTCACCGCTAGATCATCCTTTGGAACGATCCGCCATTGTGGCGAAGTAAATTTTCTATCCATTGTACGGAAACGCGATCCATTACGATATCCAGCGAACGTTGGCGGGGGTGGTGTACTATTTGTTCCCTGTACTTCCTATTCTTAAGAGTTTCTATAGATTTTTACCATCATAAAGAGTATACAATTTATTCGAGGACCACTGTGACAGTATTAAATAATATTATCAAGGGGGTGAGATTATTTTACTCTGTAACGCCAAATAACCAAGAAATCAAACTCTCCCCTCGACACTCTGTTTGAACGATATTCTTTGGTCGCTCGTAGTTGGTTTTAGCATCTTTGGGACGAACTGGGACCCACCGCCTCGTAGAGAGGCGACGCGCGAAGACGTCGGGGTCAAGCAGAGGCGATAAATAACGCAAATTACACATCCCACGACTAATCGTAAGAGTTACGGCTCGTCGAGTATTTATAAACGCAATCATTAAACGGTTTATTAGCTCGGCCTCAAAAGAGACGGGCGTCGCGAGACGAGTATTAGTGGTCCCGCGATACGCTTTGTAACGTTTCACGGGTAAAATATGCGCCGGCTATCCGAGCCACGGATTGATTGGCCCGTCGAGTTAGGCGTGCCGGACGATTATTGCTCTCGCTGGCCGAACTCAAGACGGATTAGCGCGCGGTCTTGCCACGAATTAGCTTGGAATCCCGGCGATGGGAGCCCCGGGACGTCTTCGGATCTCGCGATCTCCTCTAACGGGCCGCGCGTAGCGATGGGACCGAGACGAATTTAGGCGATGTTCGATACATCGATGTCAGAAGTTCTCCACCGTTCGATCCGTTCAATGGAATTACTACGAACGGTCCGAGACTTATTGAGACACGCGACTCTTGTATCGATACGTATCAATTACGTCAGGTTCGATACCTGTTTACAATTCGCATAAGAAGTAAAAACAAGCAACGATGTCGTTGCAAATGCTAACTGACCGATAATAGAGAGGCATGACCGAGTCCCTGAGTTTTGCATCCATTAGCTACCTCTTTTCCACGTTTCTTTTCTCAACCTTCCACCTCTATCGTCAATTCTTCATTTCTGTTCCTTGCGAAATATTATAAATCGATCTTATACTCGAATTCTTTATTTTTTCTTTACAATATCATGATTTAAACCGAGTTATGCTCAGGGTAATAGTATCATTTATTTATTTAATCCTTGCCTTGCTCAGGATGACTTCCAGTTTACGCGTTTACTTTTTCCATTTAGCGAGCTATAATTGCTTTCTCAAGAATAGTGTTGTGTTGTTCTATACGCGCTCTGGTTTTTTTAATATTAACGGAAATTTTTGCTTAAGAAGAATCATTTTTGAAGATGGATGGCTCGTAAAGAACCAACGCGCGAACGCGTGCGTTGTTAGGTTAATCAGAATGTTATTGGATTGGACCCATCGCTATCCATGCGTCTTTAGCGCGTTCGCAGCCACCGCGACGTCGCAGCCCGCGTCGAATTATTCACGGCCGGCTGTCGAGAGCGGAGCGATAATCTCGTTTAAGTTTCGGTTCGCGGAAGACGCGTCGTCTCGCTACCTCTAACGAGGACTACGTGATGGATTCGCGGTTATATTTCAGGGCAGAGAATGTCGCGGGCACTACGACGTCGAGAATCTTGCTTAAACGCGCGAAGACACCGTTTATTCCACCTTCCCTCCGCGCCGCGAAATAAACCGCTAATAATAAGGTCAACGTTCAAACGGTATCTCGTACCTAAATTAAAATAGACGATCCTTAACCTCTCCACCAGCAACGACCAGACTTGATTCGATCGTAAGATTCTTTACATTTTTTCAGTTGTCAAATTTCATCGTGTCTCGACGCCATCTTTGAAGTGCAAATTATTCCCTCGAACTCGATAAAACGATTCTTTAGCTGAAATGACTTCTCGAAAAGTGCAATTTTTTAAATCAATTTTTCTCGTATTTGCGTCGTTATACGATGTCGTCGGGGCGCCTAGATCTCGCGTGCTGCTGGACGGAAAGTGTCGACGCGGGTAATTAAGTTACCGCGGACATTGAAATTGCATCGAACTGTATCGCGTGCAGGCTGCTGGGTTAAGAACCGTGGAAGATCACTGGCACAGAACGCGTTGCACGAACGAGATCGCAGAGTTTCGAGCTGCTCGACTCGGTCTGTTCGCGCGAAAACCAGCAGAATTTTAGGCGAACAAGAACACTGTTTCCTAGCATGAACCTCGACGTCCAAGCGTGGCCCGTGTTTTTAATAAGTTGCAAATCACCGAAGTCTGGGTCTGAGTCGTGGAAACTACGTTTTCGAGTGGCCCTCGAACTTTGTCGAACGTACATACGTGTCCAGGTGACTAACGCGAATCGAACATCCGATGATAACACACGTTATCGATAACTTCTGGTGTACAATCATACTCTGAATCTTAATTTCGTATCGATACACAGGTAGAACTTCAACCTATGGAAAGATATAAATTACTTTTATTCCTAAATTCAAATTTGCATTGCATTAACGTCCACGTACAGAAGTTGCACAGAAATTAATGTGGTTGGGGGGTTAGGGGAACCGTGCAAGCGGAGGAACACGGTTGCCTAATCACGGATACATCGACGATACGCTGATAAACCTAGTTGACGTAGACATATAGAAATAGACGGTCGATCGTATCGCGGTTTCGGCCAATTTATATCTGCACTCGAGCGTGGCTACTCACCACCGGGAGGTAGAAACGATAAAAAAGCTCGCTCGGAAAGCGCGCGGTTCGCCAGATGTTTCGAGCCACTTGAAGCTACTTCGTGCGACAGAGAGGCACCGGATCGCGAGAGGGACGGCTGATAATTAAATTCTGCATTTATTCCCCTCGCGACGTTTTCCTTCTGGTTGCGGCCACCGTGTCCGTTTCGTACGATAAGTGCATTAATCTTGACCGAAGTGAAAGGTCAGTTCGAAACGCCGCGCGGAACGCAACAACGCCGGAACCATTTTTATCAGACGCGGCACGGGTTTCCTGCGCCGTTCCGTTTCGCGTGAAAGGGATTACACGCGGTTATTGCATCGACTCCGGAGATAATCGCGGGCGCATTATTATCGCAATTAAATTCGAATTTATCGGTATAATTACATTAATTGCTCGATTTTCGATTAATCTGCCCCCTAGTCGCGTCGAGACAAGCTCCGAGCTCTTATGGGGTAGTTCTCGCCCCAAGAATCGTTCGGAAAATGGAAACTTGGTCGGTGATGCTCGTGAACAGGTATTTCCGTAACAAAAGTTCTGGCTTCTTATCGCGACAGTCTTCCTCGACGCGATTCAATTAACGGGACAGCTGCTAATAAATAGGACAAGGTAATAGAGGGGAGCGGAGTTCAACGAAATATCGAACGACGCTGGATATCGGTGTCCATATTTGCCTCGTTCGCGACGAATTTCCACCGTCCACCCCCGTACGCGTGTAAATCGTCGCGGGCCAATCGACGCGTGACTTCCGATAACCGGCGTCGCGCTCTCGATTGGCCAAAATTATACACTCTTTCGACAAATGAACGAACTGGACGATATCCTCGATAACGTGTCGTTTTATCACCCCCACCCCCGTCGTGAGTCACGTTGAGCCGTTTGCTCGAATTTCTCTTTGTGATTTTCGGGACGACACGCGTCGATCGACGCTGATTTTCGAGCAACCAGTTATCGTTCCCATCGATAGTTCGATAACGTTCACGCGTGTCGTTGCGTGACATAGTTTTTTATTAGAGACACGTTGTACGTCCACGGTCATCGGGCCTTTGATGTCGATAACGCTCGATACTGGAAATTTCTATCAGCCCTCGTCGATCTTTAGAAATTACGGCCTCTTGGAAAACTGTAAGTGTTAAACTGAGTTGTACTTGGAAAAATATGGAAGACAGTTACTCGTGAGAGACAAGTAGATCGACACCTTTTTGCAATATGGAACAGTATTTTTAAAAGTGATATAAGATCAAGTTATTTTTATTAAGCAAACAGAGGTATTCATATCCTTTCAATTTACATAGTTCTACGTATGAATTGTTGAAGAGAACATTTCACGAGTCGTTGCGCGACATTTCCTCTATTTTAAGAATTACTTTGTAGGCAAAAATAATGCTAATTTGGACGTATATCGGACCGTCCAGCAGTCAGGGACTAGGTTAATTCGTTTCGAACACAATAAATATTATTTAGAGCCCCGTTCCCGTCTATCGTAATTCTCAGGAATTTCCCGACGTCGTAAATCTCGATACGCGCGGCCGCGACGATAAATGCAATCGGTTGTCAGATGTCAAATTAATGATGTTAGACTGGGCTCTATGGTCGAATGAATAACGCCGTTGGCCAGCAAACAGCATAATTTAACGCGTAACGGAATACAATAAACCGTGCAACGTCTATACGTGTGCGTGTCCACGCGATATGGAACTTTTGCTCGAGAATCGCGTTCACGGTTTCGAGAAATCGACGCTTCGTTCTGGGAGAGAATAAAAAGAAAAAAAGAACGACACGATAGTTGCCGCGATTCCTCGGAGTTACGTGTGTCCCGACGCACTGCATCGATTCAACAAAT